ATTAATTGATTCTAACATTATTTTATTTAGAACTGTTTGTGGAACACCGAACTACATTGCCCCAGAAATATTGAATAACTTGGGTCACAGTTTTGAAGTTGACATGTGGTCAATTGGATGTATTCTGTATACTCTTTTAGTTGGAAAACCTCCTTTTGAAACGAAAACTCTTGAGGATACATACAAACGAATTAAAGATTGCAATTACACGATACCAAGTCAGTTTCCTCGTGCGGCTGAAAATTTAATTGTTTGGTTACTTCAAATCGATCCTTCCAAACGTCCCAATGTAACTCAATGCCTTGAACACGAATGGTTTTCTGGATGGACTCCTACTTCCCTTCCTCCTTCAGTTCTTATTTCTGCTCCTAGATTTACAAACGTTGAGGATGGTAAAATTACAAAAGGAGCTACGCGTAAACCACTTATTGAAGTTAATTCTGGTAATTAATTTTAAAAAAAAAAAAAATCTTAATCTCAGTTTTAAGAACTAGAAAAACCTTAATTTTTTTTTGGTCAACAGAACAAGTCGTCGCTTTATCTCCAAAAAAAAATAATCGCATGAGTTCTGCATTAGCCGGAGCATCGAACAATGCAATGGTAACACAATACGAATGTAGAAAACATTTGCAGAAACTTGTCGATCAATTATCTTCCGTATTGAAAAGCCAACCTTTTAGTAAGGAATTAAATAATTTAGAAGACTGCGATCCAGCTGCACAACCCTTGATTTGGGTTAGTAAATGGGTCGATTATTCTGATAAATACGGATTCGGATTTCAATTAATCGATGGTAGCTGGGGCGTCTTTTTCAATGATACTACTAAAGTCGTGATGTTGGCAAATAATTTGTGAGTGGAAAAAGAAAAAGAAAATTTAAAACGTGATTAAATTAATTTTCAAAGGGAAAGTAAAATAAAATAAACTTTTAAATTTTAGAAACGTTCACTACATTGATCGAGATGGTCGAGAAGAATATTTTACAATCTACGATCATCCGGTTGAATTGGAAAAAAAAATTAAACTTTTATCCTATTTTAAAAAGTACATGCATGAGCATTTAATGACTGCTGGAGGAAACATCGAACGTGTGCCAGATCCAGTTTCAAGAACTCCTTATCTGTATCAATGGTTTAGGACTTCTCAAGGCGTATTTATGTGCCTAACGAATGGAACAGTTCAGGTTTATAAAAAAAATACTTATCAGAGTTGAGCCATTGAAAAAAAAAAAGGGGGGAAAATTTATTAAATTTAATTTTACAGGTAAATTTCTTGGATCACACAAAAATTATTATGTGTCCTTTAATGGATGCCGTCACTTATGTTGATGCCGAACAAACTTTCCGAACGTACCGTTTTTCAACAATCAAAACTCAAGGAACGAGTCAAGCCTTGTTTGACGCATTACAATATGCTTATCATAAATTAAATTTCAATTTAAAAGCCGGTAATTCTCGAAAGTAGTGAAACAATTAACATTTACAAAAATGTATTAATTAATCGGGGAAAATTGTTTCTCACTTTTAAAAAATTCATTTTCTTACAATAACAATGAGCCAGTAAATATTTTATATTTAGGCCCGTAATCAATAATTATCGATTATCAGTTTTTCTAATTACTTTATATTATTTCTTTTAACCTTTTTTTTTTTTTTTTTTTTTTTTTTTTATTATTTATAGTATAAAATATTTAATTTTTAATTTTTCCCAGAATTTTTTTTTTTTTTTTTTTTTTTTTTACACTATTGATTTTTTGCAAAAAAAAAAAATAATAATAAAAGGTTTTTTTTTTTTTGGGGGGTAATTCTTGGAATGAAAAGAATTGTTTTTATTATTATTATTATTTTTTTAAAAAGTAATTTTTTTTTTTGAGTTAAAAACAAATTTTAGGTTTATACCGAAATGAAATTTCGTAATTTTTTTTTTTTTTATTGTTAAATCAGTATAAATTTTAAGTGAAAATTAGATTTTTTTGGCAAAAAAAAAAAAAATTTCTTATTTTTCATTTTTATTATTATTATTATTTTTTTGGATCAAATGTATTTTAAATTTGAAAAAAAAATAAAAAATTTTTAATCAAACAACAAAAAATTTTAAATTTTTTTTTTAATTTTTAGTCAAATAAAAATTGAACTATTTATTTATTTTTTATTTTTTTTTAATAAAGATTGGGTTTTAATTACGTGATATAAATTTTACATAATAATAATAATAATAATAATAATAATGGTAAAACATAATAAGGAAAAATAATCGATAAGTATTAAATTTAATAAGTAAATATAATAAAACCACTGCGATTTATTAAATCGTAGTATATTGTATGTCATTGTTAATATTTTATTAATTGCCATTTAATTAAACCAATTTATGTTAGTAAAAATAACGGTTAATTTTTATTTAAATAAATCGATTAAAAAAAATTTTAATTTGGTTTTCATTAACAAAATTTATTTTATTTTTTTTTTTTTGAAGATGTAGAAAATTAAATTTTCTTTTATAAAATATTGTTCCCGAGGGAATTACACGGGGAATATTTAAGTCCGAGGGTTTATTCATTAGAAAATACGAAATCTCTCAAATTTAAAAATTTATTCCCGCGTTAGGATAAGAGAATTTTAAACAATTTTTTTTTTTTAAGGTACTCGTCGTTATTTTTAGGCAATGTAAAATAATGATAATATAATTGTATTAAAATACATATATAATGATAAAGGATTAAATAAATCCTTTTTGTCTGTATTTATTCCAAACATTGTACATTTCATTAACAGTTAATTGAACTTTATTGCACGATGGAAGAGAAATATTTTGTTCATTATCACAAATCCACTGGCAAACATCAGGAATAAATTCTTCAGAACTTTTAGTTTTATACTGGGAAACGGAATGATAATCCCTATATTTTAATTGAATTGTTTTTTGCAATTTATTTGTTGATTTAAATGTATTTATGTTGGGGTTACGATAGTGCGTCACGGATAAAGATGATAGCCAAATCCCTAATGAAACATCTTCTCCTTGAAATTGATTTAAATATTTTGCATTGTTTGCTATGTAATTAGCTATTTCTTTATTTATAACATATCCACCCCCGCAAGGGAATGAAGGATATGATGCCGATCTGTATTGACTCTCTCTCCATTTACCTAAAAATGATGTCATGTGTTATTTTTCCTTTTTAAAAATTTTTTTTTGAGTAATTGTTTTTTTTTTTTTTTAACACACACCTGCTCTTTGCACTTTCCAAAATTCTCTAAAATAACTCCACCACCAAAATTTTGGTGTATTCAAACCAGAGGAATATGAAAATTGAACATTTTTGTTATACCTTGGTCTCATTTCAATAATTAATTCCTTTCTAATAATTTCCAATTGATGGTATACCCTTAATAAATCAATGAAGGAATCATCATCGGTTTTTAATATATAATGAAAATAAACTGATTTAATTACACTGGAAAAGAAAAATTTTTTTTTAAACATCATTTTTTGTATAAAAATAAAAAAACATTGATATGATATAATGATAAGTACCTTTTGTAAAATTCAATCATTTTCTTAGTTAAATTTCTATAAACATCAATTGTATTGACAAAAATAATATCGTTAAAAAATTTACTTTCATTAAGTAACTCTACACTCAATCTTTTATTTTGCAAATACCAAGTTTCAAGTCTTTTCTTTTTATTTTCGACTAAAGTTTTAATTTTATCTGTGTCTGAAAAAAAAAAAAAAAAAGGTACATGTTGTATAATTGTCGTTTTTATTTCACATTGAAAAAGTAAATATACCTAAAACTCTGTAGGCCATAAGAACATAGGTACAAGATTTTTTTTTGAATGAATCTGGTATGAGACCAGTGGTGGTCCATAAATTATTTATTGTAATTACATTAGGACCATTTTCCCAAAGAGCATTTTGACAGTTTGGAAGTAATATGCTATCAATATTTTCTGCTTCTATTTTTAAATTAACTTCGGAAAATTCTTCAAGCGTGACAGGTGTTATTGATTGTAATAAAATTAGCGATTTTGTATTTCTTAATTGTCTTTTATTAAATGTGACTGTAGCTAAAAGATTACTATTATATGCAGAGAATAAATTAACTGTAACATTACATTTGAACCTTACAAGAAATTCTCTCAATATCCCTAATTTTGTTATATTAATTTGACTTCGAACATAAAACCCAAAGCCAGTATAAAATGGAATTGGGTTATAATGAATTTTTGAATTATTTGAAATTTTCATTGTGATAAATTCTGTTTCTTCTGTTACATCTGTAATTGAGAGAAAAAAAAAAACAAAAAGTCATTTCATTAAATCTGACTAAGACAATATTTGTAAGTTACAACTGACCAGAAGCTAGGGAAAATGGTTGATTGATGCATGTATATGGATCGGGTCTATCAATAACTGGAACATGACAAATTTCATTTCCTATAATGAAAAAAGATGAGGCAGATAATCCTGAAATTAATTTTAACCATGTTTCTCTTAAGCTTATTCGCTGCTTAAAATTTTCAGGAGAAGATAGAATTCCAATAATAAGCATTTTTTTTTCTTTAAATACCAAGTAATCGAGCAAATTTTTAAATTCATAAACAAATATAACAGATATGACAAGTACAATAACACTTGGTATTAAGAGTTTTTTTATAATTCTGTCATCCATTTTTTTTGTTTACAAAAAAATGGCGGTTCGATAAAAAATTACAGAGAAAAATGTAATTTAAAAAGTAATTTTAAAAAGTTTTTGTTTTTGCTCGAATCATTCATTAATATTTTTCGATAAATATTTAAAAGTATTAAAATTTATTAATTAATTGTAAATTTTTGCATTTTTAAAAGTTTTTTTTAAATAGTTGTAAAGTGCAAACTTGACGTAAGTAGTGGTTGCCGGGTTACCTGTCTAACACAGAAACTTGATAAACGTAATATTAAGTTATAAAAAAATAAATTTCGAAAAATGGAATTTCAAGGGGAATCAATTGATATGATTGAAAGTGATAATGTGGGTCCTGGACAGGCTTTTGCTCATTTTATCGTTATGGAAGAGTTAATTGACAAATTAACAATATTAAATTACGATCAGGAATTCGTTAAAGATTTAAAAATGAAATCGCTCAGTAGACATTATTTCGCTATACAGACGAATCCCGGAGAACAATTTTACTTATTTGCGTCATTGGCGGGATGGCTCATTCGAAAGTGCGGGAAATCTTTCGAGCAACCTCAGGAGTACGACGATCCTAATTCTATAATTTCAAATATATTTGATATTCTTCGAAGTTTGGTAAGTAAAATTTTAAGGCTAAATTAAAAATTTTCTTGGATTAATTTTTCATTTAAATATAAATTTACAATTTACAGAATATAAATGTTAATTTTCCCCCTAGTAGAATAAAACAGGGTTTTGGGGAACATGTAATATACATATTAGATCAATTAGCTGATGAAGCAATAAAAATTTTAAATATTAAATGGTCGCAGTAAGTTATTTAAAATGTTTTAGAAATGATTTACACCACACATTGTAAAAATTTTTTAAATTAAATATATCATTTTATTAGCCCAGAACTTGTAAAAGAAGTTGAAGAAGCTGTCGAAGAGATTGAAGATGAAGCCGAATTAATTCTTGAAAAAGTTGAAGAAGAAATGGCTACCTTCTTTTGTGATGATGATGATGATGAAAGTGCCATTAATCTTGAAGATTTGAGAAATATTCAAATTTTCAAAGTTTGTTAAAATTCTTTATTATATTGTTTTAAAATTGTAATTTCTTTATTAATTTGGTAAATAATTTAAACAATTTTTTAGGATTTTCAAGAGAATCAGCAAAAACCTGAAGAAATTTTAAAGTCGAATGTTACTAGTGAAGAATGGTTGGTCGAGTTGGAAAGAGTATTACCTCAATTAAAAGTTACCATTAAGACAGGTAATATTATAAATGGGTGTATTTTATACTTTTAAATAAAAATTTTTTTTATAAATTGTATTTTATAATTTAGATTCCAGAGACTGGAGAAATCATTTAGAACAAATGCAAAAATTTAATTCAAGCATTGAAGAAGTATTACCCGTTACCAAGTCTCAGTTAGATAAATTGCATGGAGATATCACCAACTCGTTAGCTAAAATATCAACTCGAGAAAAACATATTAATTCTCAATTGGAGCCATTATTGATTAACTTTAGAAATAATCAGGTACCATTTTCTTTTTTTATTAATAAAAGATAAGAAATCATTAAATTTCTTCTCATCAATCAGATAATAAATAATACAAAATTTAACAGGAAATTTTTATGTTATAACAGGATGAATTAAGTAAACTTACAGAATTATATAAAAATGCAAATGAAAAAATGACAGAAAAGTCTAAAGTTTTAACTCAAATCACAGAAGAATTAGAGCACATAAAAAAAGAAATGGAAGAAAGAGGAGCAAGCATGACAGATGGTGGTAGGAATTCATTTAAAAATGTTAAACATGATTAAAATTTTTGTTTTCGAGCATTAAAAATTATTTTTTTCTTATTCGTTTTCAGCACCTTTAATTAATATAAAAAAAGCAATAGCAAAAATTAAAAATGAAATCATAGAGCTTGATGTAAAAATTGGTGTTTTCGAGAATGAAATTCTACAGCAAAAATTAAAGGATAAAACATTTTATCAACAAGACATTGATTCTCCTACTTTTATATTATCATAAACTTACTCGCATGTTTTAATGGTAAGTTTTTTTTCTAAATACTTTATTATATACTCTTTTCCAATCTACTTTTTAAACTCTTATCAAACTCTGTTGCATTTGACATTAATCAATTGTAGATAAATTTAATAGTATGTTTTGGCCTAGAAATTTCTGTTTAAAACAAAAAAAAATTTTCAAAATAATTAGGAGGAAAGTAGTTTGTCGGTTGGTTAACAAAACTTATTAATATTTGAAATATTTGAGTTTATCAAAACTTTGTCTATTGTTGAATAATTTTACCAAATTTATTTATACATATTATTATTATTCACATTATCATAGTTATATTTGCTGATGCCTACGAAACGAGGAAATAATAGTATTGACGTTTAATAATAATCTTGTCTAATTTATAAAAAGCTATAATTTTTTTTATATGATAAGATATATTGGACATTGACCAACACACACACACACAAATAGAAATAGGAATCTTATTTTCATTGACAAAACGTATTTATACAGTTAAAACACTGTCGGTGAAAAATTTTTGCGAAAATTATAATTTTCTCGCGAAAGGTATTCTAATCATATCGTTTCGTTTATTTTTTTTTTTTTTTTGTTATCGTGATTTATAAATGGTTTTAGTTAATTAAAGTGTTCATTATTCGAAATCGTTAAACACGCCGGGGTATTAGAATATAAAAAAAAAAAAAGGTACAACAAAGGGTAAACACGATGCCTAGATGGTCTTAACCTTAGATTTGTGATTTTAATTTATTTTCTGGCTCGTAAGTGTAAAAAAAAAATTTTTTTAATTAAAAAAAAATGGGGGGGGGTTGTTGTTAATAATTGTATCGAATAGAAACTCCAATTTCAATTATTATTAATAATAACTATTTTTTTTTTGAATGAGGAGGCGTAATTGTAATCATCATTTATTAGCCGGTAAATTATTCGTTTAAAATTTACAATCTTAAAAAAAAAAATAGGAAATTTTCCATTAAGAAAATTTTCTATCGAATTACAATAAAATGCTTTGAATTCAAAAAAAAAATGAAAGGTTATCAATTTTTTAAAATTATGTTCAGTCGCAAATTTTTAATGATTTATGGTTTTTTTTTTTTTTTTTTTTTTTTTTTTTTTTTTTTTGTTATTCGGTTGTGTAAATCGTTGTGGCACAAAAACTTAATTATTTTTCCCCCAATGCGTGAAATTTTCCGATTTAAATTTTTCTTTTGTAATCGTAATCGTATACGAATTTCATATTATCCAATTAAAAACCGCCTTTTTTCGCGTTCATTTATTTTTACCGTATTAATTAATAGGAAAACGTTTTTTAATGGCTTTATTATTTATTTTTTATTATTATGTCGAATATATATATATATATATATATATAAGGCTTAAACCTTTTTTTACTTATATTAAAAAAAAAAAAGGAAAAACTTTGCATGATTTTACAGCACGCATGCGCGTTTATTATTTTTTTTTAATATAACATTTTCCGGCCAATGATTTGCAATGCCATTGATTTGCATATATATGTTTGTGTGGAAACGTTATTTAATGTGATTTAATATTATGTCTAAACAATTACAAAAAGAAGGCGCGAGATTATGGATCCATGAATATTTCACGGTAACCTTTTTTAGTTTTTTAATTTTTTAATTTTTTTTTTTTTTGAAAAGCCCTGTAAATGTGCGTAAAAGAGTCAAAAAAAAAAAAAAAAACTAAATCTTGCGATTATTTACATTCAATTAATTACATAAGGGAAACAAAAGTATTAGGGGAGTATAAATAATAAGAGTGAACGATTGTGTTTTTAAATTCATAAAAAAAAATAATAATAATAATTAAAGATGAGGTGGAAAATAATTTAATAAATAACACGCACACGCACACGCACATACGCATTATCAAACGACGTTAAGGTTGATAAACCCCCTCCCCCCTAAAAAAAAAAAAAAAAAAAAAAAAAATGAATTTTTTTATTTACTTTATAATTTTTAAATGACTTTTTTTATAATAAATCTTTGATCAGGCTTAAATTTTAAATCAGGTTATTTCCTGCTTCTCTCTCTCTCTTTTTTTTTTTTTTTTTAAATTAATAACTATGTTAATAATAATAGGAAAAATAATGAAATAAAATAAGTAAACAAATGGTTATCGATAGATTAATTAATTAATTATTTTATTTATTTATTTAAAAAAATTTTTTTTTCTTTTCTTGTTACACGCACAAATATAAGAGAACGAACTTGTAGTTATTTTTTTTTTTGAGATTAAAATCAGGTTTACAAATATAAACCGTTTAAAAAAAAATTATTTGATTCGATTAATAATAATAATAAAATTTTTATATTAAATATATATTGGGTCAAGTATTGCTAAAAGCGATAAAGAAACACACGTTGTCCACGTGGTTTTTCCACTACAATGTCAAATCTCGTTTATGAAATTTTTTTTTTTTTTTTTTAATTTTTGTCCGGTTATAAACGGTTTCGAATGAAATAGAAAATTATTTTTCACGCTTTTCACTTCAAAGTTATTAATTAATATAAATTATTAATTAGATCAGTCGAGACTCAAACGTGTAATTTTTAAAAAATTTAAATCATCTCGAAAATGAGAGATTTTTTTTGTTTTTTTTTTCCTTTCGATGCCATTCGGGTATTTTTTTATATATTTAATTACATTTTATTATTTTTCCTTGACCGTAACCTTGAAAATCTCATCAACTTTTTTTTTTTTTATAACATTTACTACCAAGCATCATCTCTGTTACACGACGCGATGTACGCCATTCTCTCGAGTTAATCCTCTGGAACGGATGCTGGAAGATCATCCTCCATTTTTTTTTCTTACTAAAGCTCCGTTTAAGCGTTATACGGCTCGGTTACATCTTGTAAGACTAATTTTTTAAAATTTATTATTATTAACGGATAAAATTCGTCGTGAATAATCTCGTTCTTATTGAGTATTATTAATAGATTAGCGATGGATTAACGAATGAACGACGGTTTATCTCGTGCATGCATACGAAAATGAAAGTTGTTTTATTATTATTATTATTATTATGCAGCCGTTTACTTTCGTTTGGATATTACAATAAGAAAACAGATTGTTTTGAAATATTTTCGGACATGTTGTGGTGTCCGACGTGCGTGTGCGTGTGTGTGTGTGTGTAAGGTCCGCCGCGTTATTGATCATTTAAATATTTTAAAATTTAATTTTTAATCGAAAGAATTTTTTTTTTTTATTTATAAATATCAACAATTCTAAATAATTATCACGAAAAAAAAAAAAAATTTAACGACGATTCGTTCGTTCGTTCGTTCGCTGGAAATGATCGTAGACGGAAGGACAAAATAAATAACGAAAATCAAAGGTCAAAATTTTTTTTTTTTTTTTATATCATAATATTATTATTATTATTATTATTATTATTATTATTTGAAAAAAAAATATCTATGATTTAATCAAAAGAAAAAAAAATATAAATATTTTTCGATTCGTTAATACGGAAAATTTATTATTATTATTAATTGTGAATTCGTCGCGAATTGAAAAAGTTATTTTATATAATAAGAAAATGTTTCGAAATTTAAATTAGTATCGTTTTGATTTTATTTTTTTTATATATATTAATATCGTGAGGTATTTATTTATTATTTTATAATTAATTTTAATAAGAAAAAATTATTATTATTATTCTGTTAATGATTTTCGAATTAAATAAATAAATTTCCGTGATTTTTATCGATTGTGTTTGGGGAAACGTTTAAAAAAATTGTTTTTTTTAAGGTTTTTAAATATTATGAGGTATGATTATTATTATTATTATTATATTCGGGTATTAGGCAAAAGGAAGTAATGCTTTTTAGGGAGGAAAAGGAAGGAATGGGGGGGAGGGAGGGGAGTAATAAAAATTTAAAATAATTATTTAAAATTTTTTATTGTTGTAGAGATTTAAATAAGGGCCCTTAAACACTGCATGGAATTTTTTTTGTTTTTCTTTTTTGAATTTCATTCTTCCATCAAATTTAAATTTAAATTTTAAAAAAAATGGCGGTTTGTATATATTTTTCCTTTTTTCTTAACGAAACGATTTTGAATGATATGTATGTAATGAATGTATATATATATGAATTGATTTGATGGGGAGGCTGTTTGTTGTGTACTCATTTATTTTTAATAAGAAAACCGTCTTTATTTGTTCTTTCGAATCGAAATCAACTTGTTTACCATATTATTAAATATACTGTTTAAAGGCAATATTGATCATGTCATTAACTTTTTCGACCTTTCAACTTGTTGTCTAACACAGGTTCAATGGGTTATCATGGTATATACCAACAATATTCACAAAAAAATAAAAAGTTTACTAGAGTTGGCAAGCTTTGCCAAACGTCTCCCCATTGCTATTATTATTATTATTATTCGAATTTTTTATTTTTTTTTATTTTTTTCGAATGGCGGATAATTTATTTTAAATAATAATAATAATGATAATCACGTTTTGCTTTTTTTTTTTTTTTTTTTAATATGTCGGAAACACCGACAGAGAAATGATTTTTTCTCAATTATATTTTTATCTTGTGTGATTTATAAGGAAACGCCGAATAGGGAATTATTATTATTATTATCATCATCATTATTATTATTATTAGTATTATTAATATTATTATTAATATTATTATTATTATGGACACTCGACAAACACGACAAGGCTCTTATTTGTCGGGGTTTTTAACCATTTATCATTTTATTTATTTATATATTTATTATTATTATTTTTATTATTATTATTATTATTATTATTATTATTAACATCAAATAACGAATTTTTCTTTTGTATTTTTTTTCCGAAAAAGAATAATAATTTTTTTTTTTTATCTAATTTTTTGATAAGAATCGTTATCGAAAAAATTGTAAAAAGCTCAGTCTCTTCCTGAAATAAAAACCCATGTTAATCGTTTTAATTTTTATTGAAAAATTTTTATATTTATTTATTTATTTATTTACTTATTTATTTACTTATTTTATTCATCGTGTGTTTTTATCATTTGCGTGAAGTTTTCAATCAATAATTATTCTTATCTTAATTAAAACAAGAGAAATAATAATATTTTTAATTGTGCTAATAATTTTGTATTAAAAACAAAAAAAAAAAAAAAAACAAAAGCAGCTGACTCGACAAAAGGTTAAAAATTTTTATTTTATTTTTATTTATTTATTTATTGTTAAATAATTTAATTAATTATTATTATTTTGTATAAAAATTATTTATTGATTAGATTTTTTTTGGGGGGGAGAAAAAAAAAATCGATTTCGTGTGTGTGTGTGTTGGTTGTATGTACAAAAGTCGTTTTGTGTCACGATCGATCGCGTTTTGTGAAGGTGCAGAAGGTTTTATTATTATTATTATTATTATTTTAAATTTTCCTCGATCGAATTCAGGCATCAGTTGAAAATAAAAACACACTTTGGGAAAATTAAGAGTAGTTGGCATCGCAAACATTGAAATTCAAAAAAAAAAAAAATTAATTTTGTAATTGCACGACAGGAAATGGGAAATGTTTTCCACGATCGATCGATCGATAGATCGATTTATCGATCTTTTAATGTTTTTTCTTTTTTACGGGGTCGGGGGTAGGAAAATTCGATTTTCCACAGTTTTCGACAGTTATATATTCGTTTAAATACAGTTGATGAGACTTCTGGCCTGTTTCTTTTTGTTTTAATCATAACCTATTCAAATGTAAAAATTGTTGCGTTTTCCGGGAAAATTTTAATTGTTTTGTTTATAAATTTAACGGTCGCGAAAGCATTAACATTGTTTTTTTTTTATAATTAGTTTTTTTTAAAGATTTGACCGAAATCTTGATTTAATTATCGTCAATTTAAAAAAATAAAATAAAATTATTATAATATTTAACGAATTGCGAAACTTTCGAAAAATAACACTAATAATTATTATTATTTTTTTTTTCTTCTCTCGAGCTTTGTAAAATTTAAAAAAAGAAAAAAGAAAACAATTCTTCTCTTAAGACTTATTATTATTATTATTTTTTAGGCTTTTCTAGGTATGACGTAAAAGAAAATTTTTTTTTGTAATGAAGGACGAAGTTCTATTTAAAACCTGTAAAAAAAAAATTAATTTTTTCGTATCGTAATAAATAATTGTTTGAATTTTTTTTTTTTTCGCTTTCTAGTTGAACAAAAAAAAAAAAATTTTCCGGGAAAATTTTTCAAGTAGTAGTATATTAATCGTGTAACTAACGAACGGTGTAAATTTTAAACGTGGAACGAGTGAAAAATATTATTTGAAAAGAAAGAAAAAAATAGAAATGAAATTAATATTTTTTAAAAAATTTCGTTTATTTTTAATAAAACGCGAAACCGTGCTGTTGGTGCTGTTGTTGCTCCTGTTGTAATACATATGTACATATATTTTTATTGATGTACGTGTATCATAAGATAAGAAAATGTCACGGAATAAAAAAAAAAAAAAAAAAAAATTATGAATCGTGAGTTGTAATTTTCCATAATTGCAACAAAGTCAAATAAAAAATGTCGTTTGTTCACGAGTTTCACGAGTAAGATTTTCGGTAGGAAAACGAAAAATTTTTTCTTTTGTGTCATGGCGGTGAAAATTTGTCGTTTATCCCTCTCTCCCCCCCAAAAACCACAGAAAAACCGACAAGAGGAAAATTTTTTTTTTTGGCATGATCGTTTCTTAACCTGATTTTTCTTAAACGTGCGGGGAAAATTTTGGTTGTCGTTTGTTTTCGTTTTTTGTTTTCCTCCCCCCCTCTTCCCCCCACGAAATTATTATTATACGCGGTTGTATTTGGGTTTTGGTTTATTCTGCTGCTCCCAGTGATTATTTAATACTGAGTTTTCTTTATCTTTAAAAATGATGTATTTACAATGTGAGCCTAGTCAAATATTTTGTTTGAAGTCCTCTTTTTCTCTGCCTGTTTTTCTTTCTCTCTCTCTCTCTCCCTCTCTTTCTCTCTGTGTATGCGATATCATATTCAAAAAAATTCTCATACGTGATTATACAGTAATCGGTTTCGGTTCAATTAAAAATTTCGTAATTTTCTTTTTTTTTTTTTTTTTTTTGTCTTTTTTTTTTCATCCCGTTTATTATTAAAATTTTCTTTTTTGTTTTTGTTTTTTTTATTTATTTATTGATGTTTTTGTACGTGAAAATTGAATTTTATTAATTATGGAATTTGGTAAAACAATAAAAAAAAAAAAAATGAAATAATTAATGAAAAAGCCTCATAGTTTGTTTGTGTATTATTATTATTATTTGATGAAGAGAGAGAGAGAGAGAACAAACTAATATTTATAATAATGATAATGTTGATGACGACGACGACGACGACAACAACGACAAACGAAATTTTTTTTTTTTTTTTTTTTTACTACATTCAGAAAGAGAGAGAGAGAAAAATATTATTTTGTTTTTATTACGTAATAATATATATATAATTTATTGTCGATATTTTTTATTCGATAAAGTAATTATTATTATTTTTTTTTTTGTCGAACTTTTTACAACGACTCACGTGGTTTTGTGTGGAATACCTAAACGGCAAAAAAAAAAAAAAAATTTAAGGTTCAGGTTTCGATTTAATTTTTTTTTTTTTTGAAGTGAATTTTCAGGTTTTTAATTTTAATTTTAATTTTTTTTTTTTTTTGCGAATTATAAAATGTAAAAATTTTTTACTAGATCGATTCGGAAAATTATCATTTTTGTTGGTGAGATGAAAAGTGAAAAAAATTTTCCATTTTCACAACGAATTTTCAGAAAATTTTCTTTAATCAAAAGTTTTATTTAAGTGGGGAGTATTTTGGGAATAAGAAGGAGACAAAAAATTCAAATACTTTTATTTAATTTTTAATTTTAATGTTTTTTTTTTTAAAAGTTAAAAGTAACAATAATAATAATAATAATTATTATTATTATTGTTAACAAAAAAAATTCGTTGAGGTTAATTGAATCGATTTAAACGTGTGATAGAATTAAATAAAAAATTTTTGTTTATAACGTCAGAATTTTTTTTTAAAATTTTAACTCAGACTTGGCAAGTTATGAGGTATTATTATTATTATCATTATTGTCGTCGTCGTCGTTGTTTTTGTTATTGTTGTTATTGTTGTTATTGTTGTTGTTGTTGTTGTTGTTGTTGTTGTCAACCATATCATTTGAGGCAGTCAAGTTTAGATTATGCGATGTTGAGTTTTTTTTTTTTTTTTTCATTGACGGTTTATTCTCAATTTATTTATTAATGATAACATATTAATAAATAATATGTTTATTTACAATAACATGTCCATTGGCAATAATTAAATCTAATGTACACACAAAATATGATAATAATAATAATTTAAAAATTAGTCAGTTTATTGTTATTTATAAAGAGATAGATAGATAGATAGATAGATGATATATATGGTAGTTTTATCAATTTGTTAATGTCTTACATATATATATTTTGTAGATGTGTAAACAAAAAAATTGATAATAATATCAAATGTATAAATGAAAAGTAAATTTTTATAAAAATTTTCTTTCTCTTTTTTGATTTTTCAATTAATATAATAAAAGTTTTAGGAATAAAATTTCATTTGATTTTAAATTTAAAAAAAAAAATTTTTTTATTCGTTAAATTATTATTATTATTATTATTATTATTATTATTATTATTATTTTTTTTTTTAGGATTTGGAAATGGGAGAAGAGGATGTTAATTACGTCAAGTCGGTGTCGGCGAGTAGCATGGTCGTGGTCTCCAACAGGCTTCCTTTTATATTAAAAAGAAATGAACAAACTGGTCGTTTGGAAAGAAAAGCAAGGTAAAAAATATCAGAGAGGGGGGTGGGGAGGGGGGAAGGGAGGGGGCGCGAGAAAAAAATAAAAAGGTTTGATCGATCTTGTTTGTTTGTTTTTTTTTTAGGGGAGGAAATAATGAAAATTAAAATTAAATTTATTGAACTTTAAAAACGTTACAAAAAAAAAATTTGATTTTTACAGTGCTGGAGGTTTAGTTACAGCTGTTGCACCCGGTTGTTGTCAAAGGAAAAGGTATATGGGTCGGATGGCCGGGTATACATTTGGATGATCCCAACGAGGCCATACCCGAATCAGATCCAAACGATAAAACTCCCACGGCTGGTTTACTATCGAACCAAGTCGTTGCCGTAAATTGCGATCGTCACCTTTTCGAACTCTTTTACAACGGATGCTGTAACGGAACTTTTTGGCCTTTGTTTCATTCAATGCCGGATAGAGCTGAATTTTCTGCGGATACGTGGAAGGTAGATGATGGTATACCTTACCTATGAATGACACTCAAATTTTTATGAGAGTTACATCGGGTTAAATTATGATAAAAAAATTTCAGGCATACGTTAAAATCAATCAAGAATTTGCCAAGAGAACAATGCAGGCTTTGGAAACTCTAAGAAATGAAAATTCTGCCATTGTGCCAACCGTTTGGATCCACGATTACCAACTCATGATATGTCCCAATTGGGTTCGACAAGTAATAATAAAAATGAATATTATTTTTTTTTTTTTTTAAAATAATATTTTACACGATTTTTGAATTGGTACATTAATTTTTTTATACTATTAGGCCACCGAGGAGGCTGGAATTCGTTGCAAAATGGGTTTTTTTTTACACATTCCATTTCCTCCTTGGGATATATTTCGACTTTTTCCTTGGTCCGATGAAATTTTACAAGGAATGTTAGGTACATTATTTTAAAAGACTAAATCAATCATCGAATAATTAAAAAATAATTCATTTGCGAAAAAAAAAATTATTATTATTATTATTATATTTGTTGATATATATAATTTTTTTCAGGCTGTGATATGGTTGGATTCCATATTGAGGATTACTGTTTAAATTTTGTCGATTGTTGTCAGAGACGATTGGGATGTCGTGTGGATCGTAAAAATCTTTTAGTCGAACACGGTGGACGTTCCGTTCGTGTCAGACCCTTGCCCATCGGTATTCCATTCGAAAGATTTGTACAATTGGCCGAGTCCGCAACGAGGGTCATGTTGACAAATCAACAAATTGTTCTCGGGGTGGATAGATTGGATTACACAAAGGGTCTCGTTCATAGGTTAAAAGCTTTTGAAAGACTGTTGCAAAAATATCCTCAACATATAGAGAAGGTAGGTAGAACGTTTTTCTTTTTGTCGACGTTCTCTTTAAATTTTCATTATTTCCTAAACTTATTACGATTAATTTATTTTCAGGTCACGTTACTTCAAATAGCAGTGCCTTCAAGAACTGACGTACGAGAATACCAAGAGCTCAAAGAAGAAATGGATCAATTGGTGGGAAGAATAAACGGTTGTTTTACCACGCCGAATTGGTCACCGATTAGGTACATATATGGTTGTGTTAGTCAAGATGAATTGGCTGCTTTCTATCGGTAAGTTTTTTTTTTTTTGTAATTTGTCTACCTGACAATTAAAAAAAATTCTTATTTATTCACATTAAAAAAATTATTTTAGAGATGCTGCCGTGGCATTAGTAACTCCTTTACGAGACGGAATGAATTTAGTTGCCAAAGAATTTGTCGCTTGTCAAATAAATACACCCCCGGGTGTTTTAATAGTTTCACCCTTTGCCGGTGCGGGTGAAATGATGCACGAAGCTTTGGTTTGCAATCCCTACGAGATAGATGATGCAGCCGAAGTCATTCACAGGTAAATGCGTCACAAAATTAAACAACAGGATTAATGGATGCCGAATCTCGTTGAGTAAAAAACAAACTTAAACTCTCTTTTTCAGAGCTCTAACTATGCCGGAAGATGAAAGAACTTTACGTATGAATTATTTACGCCGACGTGAAAAAGTTCACGATGTTAATTATTGGATGAGATCTTTTCTCAAAGCCATGGGTACCCTCATAACCGAAGATGGTGAAGAAACTTTACCCACGACCATGCAACCGGTAACCTTGGACGATTTCGACGAATACTTAGCAAAGTAAGGAGGGGGAGGGGTTTAAATCTTAAATAATTTGAAATTAAATTTTAATAAAAAATAATAATAATTAAAAAAAAAAAATCAAATTTTCAGGTATATTGGTAGCAGTCATAAATTGGCACTTCTTTTGGATTACGACGGAACATTAGCACCCATTGCTCCTCATCCAGATCTGGCAATTTTACCACCGGAAACTAAAAACGTGCTGGAACGTTTGAGCAATCAAAGCGATGTTTATATCGCTATCATTTCCGGTAGAAATGTGGAAAACGTCAAAAAAATGGTGGGTGTATTTTTTTTTTTTTTTTTTTTCGAAATTCGTTCGAAATAAATTTAATAATTTTAAAATCATTTTAATTTTTCTCCAGGTTGGAATCAAAGGAATCACTTATGCTGGAAATCACGGTCTTGAAATTTTGCATCCGGACGGTAGTAAATTTGTTCATCCCATGCCGAGCGAATTCGAAGATAAAGTCACGGATTTGTTGAAAGCTCTTCAAGAGCAAGTTTGCAAAGAGGGGGCTTGGGTGGAAAATAAGGGAGCTTTGCTTACTTTTCACTACAGGGAAACTCCTTTGTCACTTCGTCCGGCTTTGGTCGAACAAGCGAAACAATTAATAGAAGCAGCAGGTTTTTATCACGCGTTTTTAACGTGTTTTGAAAATATACCTTAAACCTTAATCGCTCATTTCATTTACCAGGATTCAGAGCAGGGCGTGCTCATTGTGCAATCGAAGCGAAACCTCCGGTACAATGGAACAAAGGTAGGGCTTCCATTTACATATTAAGGACAGCTTTCGGAGTAGATTGGTCCGAGAGAATTCGTATAATTTATGCAGGAGATGATACGACCGACGAGGATGCAATGCAGGTGAGAAGATGCAGGAGAGATTCATTAACTCTCCTCACGCTGGCAAATATTATATTCGATTATTATTTTTTTTTTTCAGGCACTTAAAGGTATGGCGGCCACGTTTAGAATTACGTCATCACACATTGTTAAAACAGCCGCAGAATATAGGTTGCCATCAACGGATAGCGTACTCACGATGCTCAAATGGGTCGAACGTCATTTAAATAGACGAGAGCCTAGGGAACCAATGCACAACGAAAAAAGATATCATCGTTCTCACTCGCACTTGTCTAATAATGGCGTAACTATGGAAATGTCTTTTCAGGATGAAAAAAAATCAGAAAAACATAATTGCGAACATATATTCACGAGTAATAATGCCATTTCCATCCATTAAAATAATAATAATAATAATAATAATTACCTTTTAAATAATAATATATTTAAAAAAAAAAAAAAAAAACATTAAATTTTAAGGTATTTTAGGTTTTTTTTTTTTTTAAATTTTGCTTACATTTAGAGTAATTAGATCTTTTTTTTTTATTAGTTTAATATATTTTAAACTCATTAGTTTTGTACATTAATTTAGTAATTGTTGCCTTTAAAAACAAAACTATTCTCAAAAGTGCTTTTTTTTTTTTTTTGTCAAAAGAATCTCGATAATATTATCAGAAATTAATTTTTTCAGTATAATATGTAAATTATTTAGGAAAAAAAATATAAATTTTTGACAAATGGATAAATTTTAATATTTTGTTTAATTTTGAAAAAAAAAAAAATGAGCCTTAATATTTTAAAATTAAATTATTTTTTAAATTCAAATTGTAAATTTTTTTTTATCCTTTAAAATGCAAAATTTATTATTATTATTATTTTTAATTACTTTATGATTATACACTGAGCTTTGTACGATTGTTAAAAAAATAATTTAAACATAATTTAAGGAATTCAATGAATGCAATATCGAAACAGGATTATTTAGAAACATAATACATTATACTTTTTCTGCAGCCATTTGCTTAAGTAAGTTTTGAATCCTCGACAAAACAATCGAATTGCTACTAAAACACTGTTCAGGTCCATATGGAGGATGAATTTCTAAATTATCAATAATTAAATTATCTTTACACTCGATAACTGGTATTAAATTTTTTTCCAACCAATTTTTTACTTTTTCTTTATCATACCCTCTCGATACTGAATATAAATTTTGTGTAAAAATGTCTTTCGGCATAACTTCATCTATTGGTGTGTCCTGTACTATTTCCATTGATTTTATTGAACGATCCATAATAATTTTTATGTTGTCTTTTTCAAGACATTTTTCAGAAGAAATTAAAATAACGCTAAAAAATTACACGCTTGTTGTAGGCCAAATGATAAAAATTATTGTTGTTTTAATTATATTTAATAATAATAATAATAATGTAATATTAAATTAAATAAATAAAGAAAGAATTTGATAAGCTAATAATTGTGTTAATAACAAATATTTGTTAAAAAATAAAAATTGTTATAATTGTAATATTAATAATAATTAACCCTAATATTTGGGGTAATAATTAATTTTTTTTTTTATTAATTACAATAAAGCCTTTTAGCACATACCTTTGTGAAACAGGATCTATGGTGTACACAAAACCGTTTAAAACTTTTCCAGTTATCAATGTAATTTTTGCGTATTTATCTACGTATTGAGCTAATTTAATAGGATCAATTACAAAAATTTTATGTAAATCATTTTCCTGTTCCATTTGTTTACAAAAAGAAAAAAAATTATACTTTCCTTACATAAAGTACGTTCAGAAATACTTTTTTAATTTTGTCGACAAAAAATTCACGAGTCCATTTTTATTTCTAGACTATTATTTTCTGAAAACATTAAAAAAGATAAAAATATTAATTTTTCTTATGGATTTTATTTTGTTGCTGTTCGCTGCATTAAAATGATGTACTTGTTGATAATTTAGTGAATTAGGGTAAGTGTTTTAAAGTTAAAATTATTTAAAATTAGTTGTAATATTAATTTTAAATTACCTTGAATTTGACATATAAATTTTGGTTTTTTAATTATAGTATTATTATTATTTAAAATCAGTTAAGTAAGAATATAAACGCATAATAGATAATTTTGTACTTTTAAGTTAATTATTAGTATATTTATTTAATAATACTGAGCGAGGAATATATTTTTTTTTTTGGGGTTTAATATGTATGTGAGCCACAGAATGAATAACTTTTTTCGAACTTTCTTACTTAAAAGGTCTAAAATTTTTAAAAATAACTTGGGAATATTTTCAAATCAAGTGGTAATTTTTAATTTTTTAAAATCTCTTTTCTGTTATAATTGAAATAATTTATAGAAGATAGTAATTGGGGAATAAAGAAGTAAAAAGTATTGAAGTGACCGTTAAATTTCAGTGGCACTAAGTCGTACAATTAAAATTTTTAGTAAAATTGGCAACATGTATAAGCAAATCTATTGTCTGCCATAGTTTATCGTGAGTTGTATTCGGGCGTGTGCGTTTGAAAGTAATTACCGTTTTTTTCTAAATTATTGAATCAAATATATTACATAATTGTATTAAAATCGTTTTTTATCGTCATTCGAAGAAAAAACACAAGTCGATTTTTATTGAAAAGTAATTTTTTTTTAAGAATTTTTTGAACCAAAAATCTAGCGGTTTTTTGTTCTTAGCTTGTTAAACGTGTTCTAACAAAGAAAACTCTTGTCTTGTGTTTAACGTATTTAGGTAATTCATCTTTGTCGAAAGGATATTTTCAGATATATTATATCAAATAGAAGTTAATTTTTGAATCACATCGAAAAGGGTAAGTTAGAAAAATGAAGTTTTTTTAAAAAAATTGTTGCATTGTGTCGTTTATTAGTCATGCAAATGGCCGATTCTAGTTACGCGCCAACTTTTTTGTTAGTTTTGTTGAAATTTTCGTTTTTATAATTGTGTAAAAGTGCGAAAATGTTTAATTATTTCATATGAAATGTAATTTGAGTTAAAATCGGCTGCATTTACAAGGTAGTTTATTGGTTATTTTAAATAAAAGGTTGAACATTACGTTGCCATGCCGGTGTTGTCACATTTCGAGCAATGTGAAGCCTACCCTGTCTAGGCGAGGTCCACGCCCCGATTCAAAATTGCTTTTTTTTTCTTTTCTTTTTTTTTTTTTTTCTCTCTCTTATTGAATGCGATATGTTATCATATTTTTTTTTATATTTTTATTTTTATTTAATTAATTAATTAAATTATACGCCCCTAATTAAAATTTATAATAAAAATTATTCTAATCAAATAAAAACCATAATGGTAGCTTATAATGTAATTACCATTTGCTCATGAACGGTTAGCAAAAACTTTTTTTTTTTTTTTTGTAAAATTTTTCCTTTTTTTTTGTGTGTATTAATTATTTTAGTTTGCTTTGAATGATATTAAAGCAAAGTTTTAAAATTATTTCATTTATTTTTAATTTAAAATTTTAATTTACATTAAATTTCTTGTTTTTTTGTCTCTTAAAATTCAAGGAAAAGAAAAAAAGTTTCTTTTTCTCTTAAATGAAATATTGCATTGAGTATTTATTTTATTTTTTAAATGTTTGTATGCATGTTTTTTTGTTGTAAAAGTTTTTCTGTTGATTTAAATCCCTTTTTAAAGAAAAATTAGCCTTAAAAGTTGATGTGATTTAAATGTGTATAGGTAAATCTAATGTGAACTAAATGTGTAGGCGTAGGTGAACATTTTTCTAAATTAATAAATAAAAATTATGTCTTCGGGCAGTGTAGGTTCTTGTAAGGGAAAAAAAAAAAAATTATTTAATTGGCGTAAAATTTAAATCAAATTAACGTAGACAATATCGACAACAATAAGAATTGAATGATTAACGACATGTCGGCTGACAATTCTAATTCTTATATAAAATGAATGAGATTAAGTGGTTCGTTCAGTATTATAGCTTTCAAGACATTTTCTGTAGATAATAATTTTTTCTTCTTTTATAAGTTTCACAAGAAAGAAAACTTCCAAATTAAAATTTCCTTAATTTATTTCTAAAAATATTCATTGTTAGTAATTTCCCCTCCCCCTTAATTCGTTTCTCCCAGCCCCTACTAAAAGCAATGTTGTTGTAATGGCTTTGCTTACTTTCACTTAGCTTATTATTATTATTTTTTTAAAAAATTTAAGGGTTATAACATTATTTCACATAAATGTGTGAGAAATCTTAGGGGTAGGGAGAGAGAAAAAAAAAATTGTATTGTAAGTCTTCAATAAAAATCCATGATTTAGATTTTTTTTTTTCTTTCAAAATGTTATTTATTGTAAACTTATAAACCTATTGTTAACTAAAAAAAAAAAATTCTTTTAAAATGTTTAAACAGGTTATCATCATCTATCTTTCTTCTTCATCCAGACTTTTGAGCCGGTTATATAATAAAGTTTATTTAGGTTGTTTGTAACTAACTAACAAAATTTTTATCGATGATGGTGTCCCTAATATTTATATAATAAATATATATATATTTTATTCGATTGTGAGAAATAATTTTTCTTTTAATTCGAGGCTGCGCATTAATGTTGTGCTTTCTTCGTATTTTTTGCACTTAATTTGTTATTAAGGAGTAGTATATCTGAAAAGAATGTGAGTGAAATCATTGATTGAATTGAGAGAGAGAGAGAAAAAGCTTTTGGCTTTTGTTGAAAAATTGTAGCTTTTTCCCCCCCCCTCACATTGGCTTTATTTCAAAAATTTCCTTTGCATTTTGACCAACCTCAACTTTTTTTAGTTGTTTGATCCAATGACCCTAACACACAAAAACTTTCAAAGTTTTATATTTTATTCTTTTACTTTATTGAAATAAAAATATTTAAAATGGAATTTATTTACGTGGGGAGAGGGGAGAAGGGATTCGATATTTGTTAAAGTATAATTTAAATTTATTTCCAATTCGTTTTTTTCTTCGTAGTAGTAGTAAGGAAATCACGAGATTTTCCAATTTAAAAATAGCAAGGTTTACTTTAGAGTAATTTTTTTTTTTAATATAGAAAATATTGTAAAACTTTGTATAATTATTATTATTATTATTATTTGTCGTGAGGGGTTCCCTTGTTCGATTTTTAAGTGAAATATGGCAACAATGTGTTTTAGTTATATGACAGAGCCAACACCCCAACCAGAGAACGAGATACGAACCAGCTGATTGTTGAAGAGAGGCTGGATTCTAAGTAGATGGAATATGTTGTGTAAAATGAGGGGTTCTGTATTTTTTATTCACCAACTAGTTTTTAAAACCCAGTTGGTATTTACTTTAAATTCCGTTCTGCCTCTGTCTTACTTTTTTTTTATTTTCCCCCTCGTTCTTCGACTGCACTCAGTCAAATGTTCTCTCGTGTTGTGTTCAATTTTAAACCAACCATATCAGGGCCACCATCTTAGCCAGGTCGAACCTCGATCGGATATCGAATGTTGTTTGTGAGTTTTAACTTGGTTGCCTTTGTGTTGAAAATTTTAACGGGGATTTTGTATGTTAAAAAAAAATAGAAGAAAAACAATTATTATTATTATTAATATTTTAATGACTGTAATTTTTTTTTTTTTAGCCAAGTTTGTTTTTAAAAATACATAAATTTTCACAAAGGGAAAAGTTATTAAATTGAATTAATTATTGTTTCTGTAGAGAGAGAGAGAGAGAGAGAGCAATTCTTAAATATTATGTTTTTGTTTCTCGAAACAAAAAGAATGTCTCTTTTAATTAAGAATTTAATTTTTCTTCATTTTAATCGTCGTATATTTATTTGTTGATGTTTAGTTTTTAATAATCTTTTTTTTTTTTTAAAGTGAGTATTTAAAATCGTTTTAAAACATCAATCATAAAAAATTACACATTATTTTTTTCATGTTCCTGTCATATCTGTTATTATTTATTCATTGTTGTATTAAACTTTTGACTTTGTTTTAAACAAAAACACGGTGGTTATTTAATTATTATTTTTTTGTTGTTGTTGTTGATGTTGTGATAAGAAAAAAAAAAAATATTAAAAAACAAACTTAATATAAACACGCACGAACGTAGCATATTTTTTTGTTAGGAAGGTCAAAGTTGTGGTCATCTTTTAATTGGAATTGGAATTTCTTCCAAAATTTGATAAGTTATTGTTTAAACAAAATGTGTTTTGTCTATGTCAGCAGTTTGTCGTTACAAATTGTAATTTGAGTTAGGTAGCATATGTATATATAGGCACGCAGCATTTAACGATTGATTTTTTTTAATTTAATAAGTATAATATTATTTTTATTCGAGAGATTTTTTATTCTCACGACGATGAAACTTGATAAAACCGAAATTTTTTTTGCCCCCCTCCCCTCCTCCCATGTTTTTTTTTTATGGTTGACATTTACAAACGAAAATAATACCTCTTCCCCCCAAAATAGGAGAGTTTAGAAATTCTTCAAGTTAATTTTCATTGTACGTATTTCATAATACCTTTTTTTTTTTTTCAAACTATTCAAGAATGATTTGAATGTGTACCTATACCTGATGGAAGAGAGTCGACTCGAGAGTCGTTTGAATTGAATGAGAAATTTTTTTTTTTAACTCGTTACGGTAAAGTTGTATATTTAAAATTAAATGTGATTATTATTATTATTAATACGCAGGCATTCCATTTGAATTATTATTATTATTACCAAGTTTGCCAAGTTTCTTTAAATTCTAGTTGAGTAGTAGTAGTAATTTTTTTTTTTT